GGCTCGGCCAGGCTCCGAGGAGTTAGTTGAGCACAAAGATCTTGAGCATCTTAGAAGCGCGGGTGCTTGCTGAGAGCCGGGGTGCATTTCGGGAGTGGGAGGAAGCGCGTTCTCCGTGTCCGGTGTTGCTCTGGAGCAGAAGGTTTAGTTAAATGGGGGAGCAGAGCTCCCCGGGGAGTGTGGGGCGATGGGAGCGAGCCGCGCATCCCGGAAAACAGGCAGCCCCGTCGTGCCGGAAAAGTTGTTTGGTGTGTGATTATTTGGTTTAGTTTGTCCAAGGTAGCTCTGCTCTCTTTTTTTCCTAGGATGAAAGGGAAGGTCTTTGCCAAAGAAACGGTGCCACAGGAGCTAGCCTCTTACAGTGGTGATATCCTCATTAGCCGAGCCTTTCTTTGAGAGCTACTCCGCCGTACATGTGCTCTTCTCTGCCTGGTGACTCTGTAGTTGGCAGGCACGAGGAGTGCGCGTGTGGCAGCCTACACGCACAGTTGGGGATTTTTTTATTGGTTTGTTTTAGTAAAAGCTGAAGTAGGAACATTAAATGTTTTATAAGGACAACGTATCTGGAGAACCGGTTCCCTTTTTTGAATCTCCAAATGTATATGTGGTCAGCGCCTTCCCTCATTTACATGAATTTTATTTTTGCTTCATTCTGTGGTTCAGTTTTATATCGGACTAGCGGTATTTTTGCTTCACTCAACATCTCTGCATTTATTGGAATTAGGTTATTTGAAATCGCTCTCTTCTGTTTCTTGTTAACAATTCTGTTTATGAAAGCTGCCAACATTTTATGTATTTTTCCTAAAATGACTGTTTTGCTGCTGGAGTTAGTGCTGTGTTTCTTTATGGTAATATCAAATTATAAAATATTTTCCAAAGCCTCATATTGAGCAAAGGAAATAGTTATTAAAGCAGAGGCTGGGCCATTGTTGGTTTATCCTGAAGTTGATTGTTTTGTTATGTCTTGAGATCTCCAATGGTGATTTTTTGGGCTTTTTTAATTTGTTTGGGTTTGTACCAAGCAGGCAACATTACCTTTCATACAAATGAGTGTGGTAATGGTGCAGATCTCCTCTGATTTTCTTGAGCTGTCTCAAATCTGATGCGTTTATTTCACCTAGATGTTCAACTCTGCTTTTGAGCAGCCTTTCGTTCTGTTGGTTTTGAGACAGAACTGAAGGATTTTATGTAATGGAGACATTACTTACAATCATCTTGATGCAGCATTTAAAAAGACCCACAAAATCACAGGTGATCACTTAACACTGTAGCTTTTCGAAATGTTTGTATTGCTTCATTGCACACTGTGTTTTGCTTTATTCATTGTTTATTGCTTTACAGTACAGTGAGCAGGTGTTAAACCTGCTAAAGAAAAATGTTTTTTATTAATACTGTATGTTGGCATATTTGTGAATTATGTCTACAAATATATTTTTATTTTTCTTTCTCAAACCTCCTTTGAAATTCAAGAGAGATTTTTTTTTTTTAGTTGATTTTTTTTTATGCTATAGTAGCAGAAGCCCATAGTGTTGTTGAGAGCTTTGTCCTTATTTCACAGATGCACTGGGAATTGTTTTTAATCTCCTTTCTGCTTTCCCATTACAGATGGTGATGACGACCCACAACTCTCCTGGGTGGCTTCATCTCCCTCCAGCAAAGATGTTGCATCACCCACTCAGATGATAGGAGATGGGTGTGATCTCGGCATCGGGGAGGAGGAAGGGGGGACTGGCCTGCCATATCCCTGTCAGTTTTGTGATAAGTCCTTCATTCGCCTGAGCTACCTTAAAAGGCACGAGCAGATCCACAGTGACAAACTACCTTTCAAATGCACCTACTGTAGCCGGCTTTTTAAGCACAAGAGAAGTAGGGATCGCCACATAAAGCTTCACACAGGGGATAAAAAGTACCATTGCCATGAATGCGAGGCTGCGTTCTCTCGCAGCGACCACCTCAAAATTCACCTGAAAACCCACAGCTCCAGCAAACCGTTCAAGTGTACTGTGTGTAAACGTGGGTTTTCATCTACCAGCTCATTGCAGAGTCACATGCAAGCTCATAAAAAGAACAAGGAACATATGGCAAAGACTGAGAAAGAGGTGAAGAAGGATGATTTTATGTGTGATTACTGTGAAGAGACATTCAGTCAGACTGAAGATTTGGAGAAGCACGTAATGACACGCCACCCACAGCTTTCCGAGAAGGCAGATTTGCAGTGTATTCATTGCCCTGAAGTATTTGCAGACGAAAACTCGCTGCTCTCACACATTCATCAAGCCCATGCCAACAAAAAACACAAGTGCCCTATGTGCCCGGAGCAGTTTTCTTCAGTGGAGGAAGTCTATTGCCACTTGGACAGCCACAGACAACCTGACTCCAGCAATCACAGCATCAGCCCTGACCCAGTCTTGGGGAGCGTGGCGTCCATGAGCAGCGCAACGCCCGACTCCAGCGCGTCGGTGGAAAGAGGTTCCACCCCAGATTCGACCTTAAAGCCTTTGAGAGGACAAAAGAAAATCAGGTCTGTGGACAGAGAGGAAGGCCAGAACTGGTCTAAAGTTACTTACAGCTGCCCGTACTGCTCGAAGCGCGACTTCAACAGCCTTGCTGTTCTGGAGATCCACCTGAAGACCATTCATGCAGACAAACCTCAGCAAAGCCACACGTGCCAGATCTGCCTTGATTCCATGCCTACACTGTACAACTTGAATGAACATGTGAGGAAGGTGCACAAAAACCATGCCTATCCCATGATGCAGTTTAGCAACATTTCTGCCTTTCACTGTAACTACTGCCCGGAGATGTTTGCAGATATCAATAGCTTACAAGAACACATCCGTATTACTCACTGTGGCCCAAACGCTACCCCTCAAGATGGCAACAACGCTTTCTTCTGTAACCAGTGCTCCATGGGCTTTCTGACCGAAGCAACCTTGACTGAGCATATTCAGCAGACTCACTGCAATGTAGGAAATTCAAAATTGGATTCCCCTGTCATTCAGCCAACGCAGTCTTTTATGGAAGTTTATTCATGCCCTTATTGCACAAACTCCCCCATTTTTGGCTCCATCCTGAAGCTTACAAAGCATATTAAAGAAAACCACAAGAACATTCCTCTGGCACACAATAAGAAGTCAAAAGCAGAGCAGAGTCCAGTTTCTTCTGATGTAGAAGTCTCTTCCCCTAAAAGGCAACGGCTTTCTGCTAGTGTAAACTCAGTGTCTAATGGTGAATACCCATGTAATCAGTGTGATCTAAAGTTCTCAAATTTTGAAAGTTTTCAAACCCATTTAAAGTTGCATTTGGAGTTGCTGTTGAGGAAACAGTCTTGCCCTCAGTGTAAAGAAGACTTTGATTCCCAGGAGTCTCTTCTGCAACATCTCACTGTACATTACATGACAACTTCAACTCATTATGTATGTGAGAGCTGCGACAAACAGTTTTCTTCGGTGGATGATTTGCAGAAGCATTTGTTGGACATGCATACTTTTGTGTTGTATCACTGCACCCTTTGCCAAGAAGTTTTTGATTCCAAGGTATCTATCCAAGTGCATCTGGCAGTCAAGCACAGCAATGAAAAGAAGATGTATCGTTGCACAGCCTGTAACTGGGATTTTAGGAAGGAGGTGGATCTCCAGATCCATGTGAAGCATAGTCACTTAGGAAATCCATCAAAGTCTCACAAATGCATCTTCTGTGGTGAGACCTTTAGCACAGAGGTAGAACTGCAGTGCCACATCACAACTCACAGCAAAAAATACAACTGCAAGTTTTGTAGCAAAGCTTTTCATGCCATCATCTTGCTTGAGAAGCACTTGCGGGAAAAACATTGTGTTTTTGATGCTAGCGCTGAAAATGGTACAGCTAATGGCATGACCCCAACAAATAAGAAGACAGAAGGAGCAGATATCCAGAACATGTTAATGAAGAATCCAGATACTTCCAACAGTCATGAAGCCAGTGAGGATGATGTTGATGCTTCTGAGCCCATGTATGGCTGTGACATTTGTGGGGCTGCCTACACTATGGAGGTCCTCTTGCAGAATCATCGTTTGAGAGATCATAACATCAGGCCTGGGGAGGATGACTGTTCTAGGAAGAAAGCAGAATTCATCAAAGGCAGCCACAAGTGTAATATCTGCTCAAGGACCTTTTTCTCAGAAAATGGCCTGAGAGAGCACATGCAGACCCATCGAGGTCCAGCTAAGCACTACATGTGCCCCATCTGTGGGGAACGCTTCCCATCACTCCTGACCCTGACAGAGCACAAAGTCACTCACAGCAAGAGTTTGGATACAGGGACGTGTCGGATCTGCAAAATGCCGCTGCAGAGTGAGGAGGAATTTATCGAGCACTGCCAGATGCATCCAGATCTCAGAAACTCCCTCACCGGGTTTCGCTGTGTTGTCTGCATGCAGACGGTCACCTCTACCCTTGAGCTGAAAATTCATGGGACGTTCCATATGCAGAAATTGGCAGGAAACTCTGCAACCTCGTCGCCCAACGGCCAGGCCTTGCAAAAACTCTACAAGTGTGCATTGTGCTTGAAGGAGTTCCGGAATAAGCAGGACTTGGTAAAGTTGGATGTGAACGGCCTTCCCTATGGCCTGTGTGCTGGATGCATGACCAGGAGCACCAACGGACAGTCTTCAGGCTTGACTCCACAGGAGGTGAATGAGAGACCGTGTGGCAGTCTGAGGTGTCCCGAGTGTAGTGTCAAATTTGAAAGTGCTGAAGACCTAGAAAGCCACATTCAGGTAGACCACCGAGACCTGACGCCTGAGACTAGTGGCCAAAGGAAAGGTACCCAGACGTCCCCCGTTCCCAGAGTAAGTACAGCTGAACTTTAAAATGTCTGAGGGATAAAATGTAGGCCTGCAATGTGACTGAGAACTGATCTGATGTTTTTATTTTTAACTGTCACTTTATAAAAGTACTTGTGCTACTAAAAACCCAACAAAACAGGAGGAAAGGTAGAGTAACACACATAGAAAAATTAGAGATTGCCCAGCCTTGCAGGCTCCTTGATTCCTAGTGGCAGTGCATCAGGTCTCTTATCATAAAACTGCCCTAGATTTACCAAGAGAGAGCTGAGACACTTGAACGGTGGGGACTGAGTTTGTCCATAGATTCTGATGCTACTGAACTAGCAGATCTGGAAAAGCTGGGGCACTTCTATGAAAAAAGGAGGTGCTGAGTACCCAAAACAAACAAAAAAAATCTGATCTGTCATACCTGAGGAATGACATTATTTCTTACCAGGGAACTAAACTTGAGTAGGAGGATGAAGGAAATTTTGAGGAAAAATATTGTGAATTCTACCTTACCCCCCAAATTCTCAACTAAACCTCAACTAAACTAAATTTCTGTGCTAAAGAGCTTGTCCTTATGGATGTCTGTCAGAGTGAATGTTGTGAGGGTCTTTGGATGTCTGTGTGCATACGTGTGTGTGCGTGCGCGCGCGTGTGCATGATTTAAAAAGTGATTTCTAAAGGATCTGCTTCATGGCCTTCTTGTAAGATAAGTAGTTTTCTTAGTGAATCTGGAAATTGTTGTCTAATGCAAGTTACATATAAGTGTGCTCAACTTTAATGTTTGCAGATAGCCTGCTTTCCCATTTCTTAGCTTACAAGATACTTGGGAACATGCAGATCCAAGTAAGGTTTCAGAAGCCTGCTCAGGAGATTAATATCATTTGCAGTTTATAGTCTTTTAAAATTATTTTTTGACGTTTTGGTTCAAGAATGGGCCAAGTCAGTCCTTCCTCTGTCAGGAACAGATGGAATGAGAAGTAGATTTTGGAAATCTTCTCGGGAGACCAACAGCAGACACATCTGAGTATTGATATCATCTGACATTTTTAATTAAACATGATGGGGTGAGATTTTCAAAAGTATCTAAGGAAATTAGGCACCCAACTCCTAATGAATAATTCCAGCCGTAGATGCCTGTTTATGTCAATCTACTAATTAAAGCACCCACAAACACATCTTACTGCATTAAAAGAACCTGAAAACACCATTCAACTACAATACCAGAGGCTCAGTCAGTAAGAGAAGACCTTAAGTACATCCTGAGGACGTAGGCTGAGATGCCTCCAATAGAGCTGGTACAGGCTATGCCCCCGCAGGACTTGTTAGCTCTGGCTCAGCACCAGGGCCGTGCTGGGCAGCAGCATCCGGCCGAGCTGGACTGTGCATGGCCAGCTCGAGCACGGCACTGCCTGCCCCAGCACCCACTGGCCTCAACGCCCCCGGTCCAGGCTTCTGAGAGAATCCCACAGAAAGTTTCTTTTTGGGTTTGGGTTTTTGGTTTTGTTTTTTCTTTTTTAGTAAAATGACTGGATGTTGTTCCTTCTGGGTATGGTGAATGTGTGACTAAGCCTCCAGGCACACACACTTAATTCTGCAGAAGAATAAGGAATGGAAATATCCCTCCTTCAGTGTGATGCCTTTTGAGAATTCAGCTGGGGCTCTGGCTAGGTGATTCTCCTTCCTTCTCATCAGGTCTTTATTTTTTTCTAAATACCTTAAAGCACCTCTATTCTCTTAGGTAGGACTAATTCTTACTTCATATGGCTGTGCCTATAGCCTAAAGTATTACCTCTTCTTTCCTGTCGACTGTCAGAAGCAGAATACATTGCCATTTTCTCCTCTGATTTCTTGCTTTAACTCTTTATTTTCAGTGAGAGCTTCCATACTTGTTCTCTCAGGGGAGAGTTTTAAGTTCTTCAATAAGGTAAATGCTTTGAATTTCATCCCATGAGGGCAGGTCTTAGTTCCTTTGTAGAAGATAATGAAAAATCAGCATTTGTGATGATGGCAAATGGTACCTTCAACAGGTGTCTATCGCCTGCACATATGCTAATATCAGAGACCTTTATGGTGTGCATCTCAGGAATAGATATATTGTTATTAGGAATAATTCATTATCTTACCCTTCATTATAGGTACAAGACCTGAATTCTGATATCATTTCACATGGAAACTATTGGCGTTTCACTCATATTTCTCAAGGCACGAGTGCTCTCTGTGCCTGCCTAGCACAGGAGTTTTCAAATAATTACACTGTCTTTTAAATGGTGATAAATCCCTGTATTTCAAGAACAGAGTTTACTTAACTTCATTGGCTTCAAGTCATCTTGTTAGCATGCTGTGCACAGGTAAAATACTGTTTTACTAGAGCAATCTTAAGTGCACAATGGATGTAGAGTAATCTGCAGATATCTGGACAAGAGCTGCTTCCCTCCAATTCTTGAACACATCTACATTTCTTTTTTAAACACCTCATTGATTTTTCTTTCTTAAAAAGAAAAGAAGTTGAAGATTAGGACAAGATACGGTCAGAAAGAAAATGTAGGGAGATTAGATTTTAAATAGTGGGCATATACTTCAGAGTAAATAAGAAAAAGCAGAATGAAATCCAAGCAAATGGAAATGGTGACGATGACATACAAAACACGTAACTTCTTTGAATGTTGGAAGTCACTCTGCCAGTAGTTACTTCTTGAATTGAAGAAGACAGTGTGGAAACCAAGAGGAATTTCAGAAAAAAAAAAAAAAAAAAAAAAGAAGATTTAACCCCAAAGTGGAAGGAGGAAAACAACTATTAGCTCATGATTAATAAAAAGTGAAAATATTTGGGAGGAAAAAAAGACAGAGCTGGAGAAAAAAATAATTCCTTTTTAATGTATGTATTTATGTTTGTGTGTGTATGCACGTGGATATAGCACCACAAAAGGACCATGAATATTTTTTTATATTTTGTTTGGTATTTTACTATTGAATTTTTGAAGGTTTTGTTCAGAAAATCAGTTGGAGACAGCTAGATGAGGATCAAACGGCACTCAGAATTGCTAGGCAGTTTTAGTGTTGGGGTTTTTTTTGTATCGATAAGAATGAGAGAGAAAGCACATAACCCTTGAAAATGCTGCTGTGTTCTGTCTTCCTCATTTACATTTCAGTATGGCAACCAACTAGGAAGAAATACCTGTGAATTCATCACCTGTGTTTCTAGGACATCTAACTGGGATCGAATCATGATGGTCAACAAAGGCAGATTGCCAGATGAACAAAGGTTTTGCCCCTATACATGGAAAGATCTGTATGAGAGGATTGGTATCAGGAGATTTTAAGTGAAGTCAATGGTCTTCTGTATGGAACATCACTAAGAGGAAGAAATAAAACATGCCTTTTTAGTGAAAGGTTGATTTAACATCATTTTACATTTGATTCTTATAGTTAGTTCTACATGAGCTTTTCTATTTGGATAGGACTAAAACGGTTTTTTTAGATGAGTATCACAAGTGGAGGTACCATTCCAGTATCTGGCACATGGACAGCTCAAGACCTTTTTTTATTCTATTATGATCGCATCAGAGGTAATGCTTTCATTTTTCTGAATGTATTTCTGTGCGTAGGAGCTTCAGTTTTGAATACATTTTATTAATTGCTTTTAATATGTCTTCTAGAGGAATGTGCATGTCTTGAGAAACATGAAAAGTTGTTTAGTACTGAGATTTCTCATTGTCTCTCGTAATACCGGAAACACTTGTATTTCAGGCTGCTCTTTCACGATGAATTTATCCTTATTTTGTACCATAGTTGTTACGAACAACGCTTGTTTAACATTTACAACAGCAAATGTTTACACTTCAATTAAATTTCCATCTTGAATGGTGTTACTATATTTAGCCCACCTAGATTATTTGGACTGAAGAAGCAAAGGAGGTGGCATAAAAAGTTGGAAGAATGAACCCTACTGTGCTCCTTTACTCAGTTCCTTTTCTCCTGCACACTTTCTTGGACTCAATTCCTTCTCTTTGTTCTCCCCCGCACCCCTTCTCTTCCCTTGTAAATCCACTTGAATGGAGGAATATTTTCTTTGTAGAACAGGAAACCATTTCCAGATTTAAACGAGGACAGTCTGGAAAGCCCATGGGAACAATAGTTACTTCAGAAAAGAAACCAGAACCCTCTGATGTTAATACTACTACTTTGTGCCAAGATTAGAATTAAATATCTTGACTTAATGGGGACTGAGCTCTCAGCTGAAGGCCTGCTCATCTTCTCTCTTATGTCACCTAGATACTCTCACTTAGACACTTAGCTGTTACCTCCTCAGTCTAGGCACCTTTGTTGTCACCACATGTCAAGACAAAACTTTAAAAAGAGATAACTGACCCATTAATAATGTTCTTGAAGCCATAATACCCACAAAAACAGTAGTAGAGGGTCATATTTGGTACCACAAATAATACAACCTTGCATTAAATCTACTGCTCTCCATTTACTGAGAACGGAAGTCTGTTCTTTTGACATTTTTTTAAAGAGGATTATTAATGAGCAAAAAATTCAGCTCTTACATGTACTTCTGAGAGCTAATCTAGCTATAGTTATTTTATGGCCTGTATGAAGCTCTTTATTAACCTCGGTCCCATATCAGGTGGGGTACTCTATCACAAGAGCCATCACCTTAGTTAAGCTGCTCTTTTGCATGCGTTGTCTCAGCTGAGGCTAACGATAATACTCAGAGGAATTCTGAAATCTGCTGTCTTCTCTGAGGGGTGGGCACCCTAAGCAGTGTGTTTTATAAGTTTGTGAAATGGTGTGGAGGAGTTTGCACTGGGTCTGTGAATAAACAAAGACATCCTGTCTCCAGATCTGTTAGTAAGTAGCTTTCAGAAGCACCAAAATCAATTAAAAAAATGCATCATTTGTCTGTGTTTAATCTAACTTTAAAGGTTTGAAATGGAGTTGAGCTGAAATATAGTCCTCCTTAGCTAGTTACTTAGGGAACCCTCATAACAGAGGTAAGTGTTGAACAAGGCACAGAACTTAGTCAGCTTTGAAGTTTTAAAGAAGAGGAAGGTTTCAAGTGTGACCACATGAATCATTCACTGCCCAATCCCGTTTTTCTCTTCCAAGGTTTTTTGTGTTCTGTTTTGTTTTTAAAGTTAGGAGCCCTCAGCATGTGTATGCCAGTGTGTTTGAGAGGACGTGTACGTATGTGTGCTGTGCGCGTCTGCCGGAATAGATTCCCAAGAAACAGCGCTGCAGAAATCCAGCTGCTTTTCCATTAACAGCCTTGATTTCCGAATGGACTCCAGGAGGATACTTTCTGGAGCTGCCTGGGGATAACTAGCCAATCCAAACTATTTCTTTTTATATGGTTGGCTGTGTCAGGTTTCGGCCAATGGAGTATAGCCTTCTTCCTATTATCATGTTAATCACCCATTGTTATTTTAGCCTCGAAAGCCCTGCCTATGTGCAAACACATACTGCGTACAGAATTCATGGAATACACATAACATCCATAGACTGGTGCATTTGTTATTATGGTATTACAGCATGTTCATTAACCTCCAGCAGGCTAACTTGTTGCCATTGATGACATGGGAAGTAGTTAAGAAGCTCTTGGCAGCACCTAATTTGTTCTTTCCTCAGCAGGTGCTCAAGGAAATTGGATCCCATGCGCAGAGGGGGTGACAGCAACTCCTCTGTTTAACTCAAAACTTCTGACTTATTACTGCTGTCCTAAAAATGGGATTCTATACCTAGGTGTGGGGTGGAGGCTGTAAGAAAAAATAATGTGCATCTAAAAGTGCACAAAAAATACCCACAAAATATTTTGTTTCAAAAAGTTAAGAGGATGTTGTTTACTAGATTGGGTTTCTGATGCTGATGGCTTGGGATTCTCATCCATTCCTCGGCTAACTGAGCTTGTGGCCAGCACGCCGAGATTTCACATACGTTCTGCTGGCATCCGCTCTAGCCGTAAGGATATGGACCGCACGCTCATGCTCATGCCTGTTGGCAAGTGTTGCAGTAGGAGTTATTGTCTAGGAAGAAGTAGGCACAAAAGGCCCAATTTTTCTAAATTGCATGTCAAAAGATGTCTATTTAGACAGCATATTCCCATGCAGTAAATGAGCATGCACATTAGACCAAAGCACCGTAGTCCTGCTTTGGGAAATAGTTTTCCAAGTGTACAAAAGCTTAGCATTAGTGTGTTGATTTTTTTTCCTAACATGGATGCCTAACTTGTCAACATGCATTTTAATTTCTACCAATGATTTCTTGGATTTTTTCCTGTCATGTTGCACAAGTACATGCATCACTGTCAATCTGCGTGCAAACCCCATTTTCCCTATTTGAATAAATGGTTCATGTAATTGCCTCTTCACACTATCTCCTGACTTCCGCAGCTAAGCCTCCCTGGTATGACTTTGAGACAGAGAAAATACACAACAGATTGTGCTAGGAAACCGTTCTTTGTGCTAATGCAGTTTTTCTAGGATTTCGGATGGGAGACCATTGCAAAATGTATTTTTTCCTGTTGTCCTTCGCTTCCCCAAATAATTATAGGTGTTTTGCCTACTGTATTTTGAGTTTAACTAAAGATGGAATTTTTTGAGAAAGTCGATCTTTTTCTGAAAACAGAGTTACTTTTCAATGTGTTTTATTTCACTCGGCAGGAATTTTTACTGCAAAGGGTTAAATGACACGAGCAATCTGATTATGGCTCAAGTACTCAATCAGATTTTCAAGCACTACCATTTGAAATTTTTTAAGCCGAAATAAAAAAATTCTCCTAAAGGAGCAGGCTGTTAATTAGAGATCATATTTATAGTCCAAGAAAAGCCCAGCCCAACTTGCTGTCTTCTTGGGGATATATGAGCAGAAAATGCCTCAGTGGAAGAAAGTTGAAGCACGTAACATGCTATATTCATGATCACACTTGCCTTATGCTACAGTGCAGTTTTCTCTAATCTCTTTTTGGTTATTAAACAGAAAAAGACCTATCAATGCATCAAGTGCCAGATGACCTTTGAGAATGAGAGAGAGATACAAATCCATGTCGCTAACCATATGATTGGTAAGACATTCTTTAAACTAGGCCACTCATCGGCTGCTTATTTTTTGCTACTCTTTGAAATTCACTATTCTAATAACTTGTTAATATTCATGCTGTAATTTATTTTTTTTATCTTTCAAGGAAAATGATTTTGATGTAATGATTCTTCACTTCAAAGCTTTTTAAATATGTGGTTATAAAAGTGTTACTGCTGAGCTTTTTTCCTTATCCTTTTGAGTCCTCATGTAGCATTTTCATTTATATTAAAATCAAACTTTTGACAGTATCTTCCATTTGATAGCATAAATTTCTCTCTATCCATGTAAAAAGTACTTGCCAGTTGTCAACCACTTAGGAGCAATTATGTTTCAATTTTGTATGTCATGACATTGAATAGATTTAACTGCTAGCATTTTCCCAGCTAAGTGTGGTGAATTCCTGAGGAACATTGTCAAAACAAAACACTTACAGAGTTATTTCAGTGAGTATTCTTCTTCTTTTTCCAACAATTCTGGACTTCAGAAAGTTCAACTTTTCAGACGTACAAATGTTTTAAAAATCTGTGCTTGCTGCCTTCTACTACAGTCCTGTCACAAGAGTTTGTAGTAAAGTGTTATTGTAATCTGATGGGTTGTATTTCTGCTGCAGCTGTATGATTGCTTTTCTGATGAATGCAAAGAAATGTTTTTCCTGTCTGTACAGATGTTATAAATATATGTGTTGGCCCAAGAGGTCAGTTTATTTTGATGCGTAGACCACAAAGGAGTTACTACACATGCCACTGTAGGCATGTGTTGGATGAGATCCTTCAAGGACCCTACAGTGCACTCTGTGCATCTCATATGTTCACGTGCAGAATGTATCATCTCCCATAAGCATGATGGTTTTCTTTCAACAATTTTACATTTAGGAAACTATTCTCCCATCAATGCATGTATGTAACTCCTCTTATCTTTGAAGCAAATTACACATAAATACCAGAGAGAGAGAAATACGGACTGACATAGTCTTCGCACCCCCACCCCCAAATGAAAAATATAAATGTCAGTCACAATAATTTTTATCCAAGAGCCAGGCAGGAGTTTAAGTCAATGTCAAGCAGGTTAAGATGAAGATATCTAAAAATGTTTGCTTTTGTAGCAGGTGTTAATGTAATCTCTTGTTTGCAAGCTTGAAGAGTGAGATCCTTGTTAATTGGACCGTAGTGATTTCATACAGCTCCCCCCTAGATTTTTTTAAAGAAGCCTGAAAGAAAGAAGTCCTTAGGCAAGCTTAGCACTTGTTTCAACTTAATTTGTGATCCAGTAGCTAATAAATTATTTTTAAATACAAAGGTCATGAAGTACTGAGTTGAGGTTCTGCTTGATTCAAGATGGGAATTCTTTTTCCTTTTGGAAAGATGTAATGTCTTCATTTTCCAGTAATTGATGTGTGTTTATTTATATATATCCCCAAATTACTGCTGTCTGGAATAATACACAATATATAAGACATTACAAGGTTCACTATTAGTGCTATTGGAAAACAACAGTGGTAGAAGACATAGGAGGCTGAGAAAAGTGTGGTGCTACTGTTTGTGAAAACTGTACCTATTGTTTCCTTGAAGCTGTACGTAAGTTACTATACATATTTGGAAGAAGCCTATGTAAATATAAAGGTGCATATGGACTCAGTTCTGTACACTTATGACATTGTAAATGCCAGGACATGGTAAGAAAATACATGATTATTCCATTGTGGAGTCATGTTGTTGTGTCTCTCTGCTGAGATACGGACTGAAAATGTTCATTAAGTTCAAGTCATCACTTTTTTTTATGGTGGAATTTAGGAAAGAGCGAAGTATAGAAACTAATGAGGAGCCAAGCTTCCTCTTGCTCCGGGCATCTCAGGCAGTTCACGAGACACTTGGGCCCCCTCTTTTTCAGGACACGTGACTGCCTCAAAAAAGGCGTTGTCAGTGAGTCTACTGTTGGTATTTGCTCTTTACTAGGGAGTACTGAAGGGGAAAGGAGAGACTAGATGTCACCACTTCTCCAGCAGTAAATGCTGTGTAGATTTGTGGTGTTAATTTGCATAGTGCTGAGTCAGTAACAGTAAGGAGTGATGGATTGCCTCTCGGGCTTGCTCCTGTGCCCTTTGTTCAAAGCCCGAGAGCCTTGAGCCCTTACAAGGCCATAGGAGAGACTCCTTATCACTCAGGCTGGTTTATTGCTTATGAAATAAGGGGTGCAAGAGTTTCCCTTCTCTGTGTTCAACCAAGTCTGGCCAGGTGGGCAGCAAGAGAAAGAAGCTAATATAACGGTTTCTGCAGCCCAGGTCTGCGTCACAGGGGTTATTAATGTCATCGTTGTCAATTTAAGGTCTACAGATGAGGATTTGTTTGTGCTGGGGGGGCACTGAGATCCCAGGGTGAACATACAGGTGTCTGGGGGCTGGGTGGGGAGCTTGCTCTCAGACTGTGTCTCCTCAGGAGCTTAGGGTCAGACTCATCTCAATGAACTTGTATCTGTCTAAAATTAAGGTGTCTGGTTTAATATAGTCATTGAGGTGCCACCTGGGGAAAATGAATGATTGATACCAATCTAAGATAAGAGTTTGAGTAGGATAAGCATTTCCAGGGAGAGATTTTTATCTCTCTTTTGAATTTGAAGTGAGCCAAGACAATGAAGTTAGCCTTGACATGTAATTTTTAGGTAAAAAAACCCTTGGCTTTGATAATCCAAGACCTCTCAACAGCACTTTCTCCTCATACTTTGAGAAACATAAAATCAATAGTTGAGATATCCTAAGCACTTGCTTACAGTTTTATTCTGCTCAAGTGACTGTCAACAAAGGAATCCCTGCTCTGTAGCAGCGACGTCTCTTAAGTATCAGTGTCTGTAATATGATTAAAGAATTCAGTTGTTTCTTAGATCGTAGTCTTAAAAGGTGCTTCCAGTTAAGTTGGCTGTGCCTTCCTCTTCAACCTCTCAGCTCCTCAGTCTGGAGTCAGAGGCCCTGCTCATAAGTCATGGAGGTAGGGGGTTTATTTTTTTCAAAGCAGTATGCAGGGAATTTCCAGTGCTACTCCCACACACCACTTTGAAAAATTACCCTTCTGCACTCTAGCCCTTCATATCCTGTGCACAAACACAGAGGCACACTGGGTTCTGCGCAGGGTCCCTGGGGAAGGAGCAGGCTGGAGACATCCCCAGCGGAGGTAAATTGTAGATGTTTTGTTTCATTTTACACTGGGGCCTGTAGGAGGGCTGTAAGCAGCAGAACAGACCTCTTTGGCTGTGGTTAGCCAGGAAGGGATCTGTTTAGAAATATTTGCAGCTGGGGGCGGGGTTCAAGGTGGAATTTTTTTAGAGAGTAGAGGTCTTTGAAACTGTGCACTGATTGGGGCTCCTTTGAAACATTTCCATGCCCACAGAAAGGGGATCCCCCTTTGAAACATTTACAGGCATTGGGGAGTCCACCTGGGAGTATATCAAAAACTTTCAGTAGTTCTTGCTGCCTCTGTACTTGCTTACCTCCTGTTGCGCTGACCTGGCAATGTTTAAAGCTTCTCCCCCTTATCTCCCCACCTACCAGTGCCTCTGATGTGCAGTCTCTATTGGAGGCAGGGGAAGATGGGCATACGCAGCCGTGGGCTCTATGGGGGGCACTGAGCAGCCATGGCAGCAGCCAGAAGCATGGAAATCTGTCAGTGCAGCTGCTCCCTGGTGGCTAGTGGGCCTGTGGAACTTCAATCTCCATCAAGGGGCCACTGCTGAGTCCCCACGGTACGTGAGCGGTGGCTGCCCTGAGGAAAGGGCCCTAGCACTCCCCCTTCCCACACTGCCAAGGGAGCCCCTGCTCAGAGCCCTGCGCAAGGAACATCCAGATTTGTCCCCGGGATTTCCTACTGGGTTTTTACAGCTGTCTTGTTCCCACCCAGCTGGGCTGGGTGCCCTAATTAATATTTTTCAGGGTGCACAAAATTCCACAGGCTTGTTGCTCTCCAAGCAGGTCAGGTCACCCAGTATCAAGGGAAAGTGCATTTGGATTTATGCTGGGGCTCTCAGCTGTTTGGGTAAGAGAAGTGGACATAGCAGTACTTCTCTCCATCTCGGTTAGATGAGGGATGTTTCCTATTTAATGTTCAAAAAAGATGAATGACTGTCCCCACCCTTCTTTCTCCCTTTCTCTAAGAAAGTCTCCTGGCAATCGTGCACAGGAAACTGAACTGGGGTGCAGTTAGTGCTGGAACAGGGAAAATAATGATTCTTGATCGTGCTCTAACACTGGGATTGCTGCAGAACCTTCCTGCCTCTGGCTCCAGCGGAGTGTGTTTGTGGGCTCACGAGAGGCTGGCTGCCTCCTCAGAGCTCAGCAGAGCCCTTCCCTGGTGCCGCTCCTGTCCTTACATGTGCAATTGCCAGGGCTCCCAGTAAAATTCACATATGAATGCCAGTGAGCAGCGAGGGCGGGAGGTGGGGGCAGGCTGGCTGTGTTACGGTATGTGCGATGTGAAGCATGAGGCCCCTGTTTGTGCTTTGAGAGCCACTGGGGACAAAAGGGAGTGCTGGAGGGAAAACTTCCAGAAGTCACATTGAAATTGTTCAGTGGTCTGGTTCTCGGGCTGCTGTCTGGATAAATACCCCCCTGTTTGATGTGATGGAGACGACCAAATTAAACACCATGTTTGGAGGAACGGGGAGAGTTTTCCGAGTACTGCTCTAAGCCATGGCATGTCATGCATTGTATGTGGTGTAGGACTCCAAGTATCTGAATTACCTTTCCTGCCCTTGCAGATCATGTTTCAAGTTCTGGAAACACTCTGCCAGAATTAAACACAAAGAGGAGGGATAACATCCATCCAAACTTAGGTTTCTTTCAGATGCATACAAGTATTCTAAACAAAAAATTATCAAACATAGGTTTCTTATTTTGTTAACATTTAAATATAACATAATATTTAAAAATAACAAAATAAGCCTGTTGCTCATAAGAGGTCAAACTGCAATAATAACCACAGAAATGATTTCCTAAAAAGC